GACATTCAAAAATACAGATTCTATTGTCAGATATAATACAAATACTAAAGATATGCATGTATTGCTTTCAGCGAACACGGGAAAAAAATTAGAGGAGTGTTAGGTGGTTCGGCGTAAATGACGTACCAACGTCGACAATTCTGTATCCTATTCAGCCACATCGGTAACACCATCGTTTTCAGACCCTAAACTCTCAAATCCCAGGGCGGTCACCGCTGATGTATTTATGTCGTAGAACAAAACGTCAATTACCTCTTAAATTGTGTCAACCACAGACCTTATTTCGAGCATTATTCCAACCTATGGAAAATGCATTGCTTTTTGAGAAGGAACCGGAAGTGCAAAAATGCTAACTTACTTCGGGTTAAGAGCGTCACTGCGGCTGCTCGCTGCGGCCCGGAAGCATTATTTAGACACCCCGGCCAGCATAAGTAACTTTCAAATCGCCCACACTGTTTGCTGAGGAGCGCAGCGCGAGCAGTGCTCCGGGAGCGGGAGCGCACTGGAGGCAACATTCACATACAGTCAGTAGTGGGAACCGCAGTAAACAAAAGGCGTTGCCATAGCAACGTCATGTTTATGTGAAAAGGGGTGGGTCAATATGACCCGTGGCGGAAAGGTACAACAGAGGGTGCTACATGACATCACTTTGTGTGTGTGTGTGTGTGTGGTGTGTGTGTGGTGTGTGGTTGTGTGTGTGGTGTGTGTGTGTTTGTGTGTTGTTGTGTGTGTGTGTGTGTGGTGTGTGTGGTTTGTGGGTGTTGTGTGTGTGTGTGCTGTGTGTGTGCGAGCTGACCACATACACGATTTTGGCGTAGCAGTACATTTCCCAGGCCTATTACGCCGCTACGCTGACTTGAAATCCTACGCATTACTAACAATCGAAAATGAATCGGTGGAGCTGGCAGCCTCGGCACCGTGTGTGACATCCAACCATGAGCAGCACTAAAGCTCACATATAAGCCCGTTTTATGATTGTCCCTGCGTTGGCAAAGAGCCAATAGGTCGCTTTACTTCTTTTTGTAATGCCCCTCACTACTGTTTACCAGGAGCTATGCTGTTTTGGCTCCGCTGTTTGATGAAGATTCTATTCATTGTAGACCAGCTGCCGTGCGGGAGTTCGTAGCTGGTTTCAGAGTCGATAGTGCCTATGGAAAAATATGTGAAATCCATCCATCCATCCATCCATCCATCTATCTACCGTAATTTTCGGATTATAAGCCGCGCCTTTTTTCCCATTTTTCGACGCTGCGGCTTATATAACGGTGCGGCTAATCTATGGATTTTTACAGCTAACGGGCACACCTTTAACTCTATGGGCTCTATGGCCGGTCCGCGGACCCCACCTTTAAGCGGCGGGTTCCAGCAGGAAAAGCTGGAGGCCGGAAAAGAGTGAGACAGGTAGCGCGCAAAAGTAAAAGTGGGACCGAGAGTGGTACGAGAGACAGAACGAGAGCAAAACAGACAGACATTACGAGAGCGAGACAGTTTTTCCCCGTACCGCTGGTTGAAAACCGCTGCTGTAGATCACTGCCGGTACGTGCGCTGGGAGCGCACCGTTTAAGTTTGAAAGTTGAAAAGTTTGTGTGTCTGAAACGCTATGTGATACAGTACAGTTTACACAGCACAGTACATGTTCTGTAGCTACTATTGCACTAAATGGTAACACTTGAATATGTTATGCAAATATACAACTTGTTTGTTGAAATGTTAATAAATGGGAGCTTCCTCAAACAGCCATCTCTTTCCCGACAATCCCCTCTGTGCACGAACCCTTACATATGGTAATTAAACATTAAAACACCTGCGGTTTATAGTCCAGTGCGGCTTATATATGTACACATCATTCAATTTAGCTGCTGCGCTTTATATTCAGGTGCGCCTTATAGTCCGAAAATTACGGTATATATTCCTAGTCAACCGCTTATCGGCAAAGGGGCGTGAAGGTACAGTAGCAGTTCTGGAAGGGGTTCCAAAACTTCTCTTTCTCTGGCCATGTTAACCAGCTCTGTCTTGGGAATTCCAAGGTGGTCCCAGGTCAGGGTGGGGATATAATCCCTCCAGCTGGTCCTCGTTAAGTCATTTAGTATTCAACCAGAGAGGTTGACCAAGCTTTCTTCAACTAAACACTGAACAACTCAAACTCAGCGAGTTCCAACACTTGCGACTCTCTCAGCAGAACTGCTGGGTCCTCTGTAACAGCAGCAAGAGGAGGTTCTGATGGTCCAGGATCAGCAAATAAATGGTATAGAATAGGGGCCAATGCCCCTATAACACTGAGCTTTGCCCATTGTGGAGAGCTTGTTAATATCATGTGTGATTGAGTTGGAGCAAAGACTGTGATTTAACTTGAGCGGCAGTTAACAAGAATGTGTTTTGTTTAGTGTTTAATTATGTCGTAACATTTTAACCAAGTTACTCAATGTTTTTTTGTTGTACGTCATGACTTTATACTAACCTCAAGATATTAAAATCTCTAACCTTGTATTTTTCTTGTTCGTCCCGCATTGTGCCTCTCTAATTAAATAATTCTCCATAGCACGGCACCCTTGATGTACCTAAATTAAAGAATGATTTTGTGCTAAAAAGGGTTTAAATGATATTTCCCTTTCAAATGGATTTTCACTTGATAATGTAGTTATCCTCATTTAATCTAGTTTACAACTAGAACATGTAAAGCACCACAGGTCACCTCTCTAACAATTGAATCACAGCAGGGAATCTTTCCTCCAAACTTTACAAAGTCCTTCACCTTGCTTTAAATACTTTAAGGACCCTTTCAGTTCTCTGTCCTTCATCTGTATATTTAACCGCCCTGCCCTAATCACTTAGTTCTTTTTTACTCTTCAAATGGCTTCTCCTGATGTTTCAACTCCATGCCAGTTCATTCCTGATCAAAGGCTGCTAACAGAGAGGCAGGGGGCATTTAGGCCTAATTAGAGCTTCATCAAAGTATGAAGTACCATAACATTGTGTCCTAATGAAGGTCAGTGTAGTTCCAGTAATACAAAATTCGTCTCAAAGATAGCAAATAAGCTTGACTCGGACAAAATACGTCTCAGGATAGTTTGTTTTTTACTTCCACAAAAAGGTATCAAATACAAACACATATTCTCTCAGGTCAAAAAACTATGTTGCTCGGTGCTTCTTTCTCCTTCTCACACCCCAATCACCAGCAGCTGCCGTCGGCTATAACGTCTCGTAATTCAAATTAAAAACCGTTACCCCCTCACAGTTGTATGCCAACCAGTTGCAGTTTACATACATGTTGATCAAAATGTTGCTCACTTCTTCATGTTATAGTGTTAAAATTGTGGGAAGTTGTGTTAATTGGTAAAAGAATACTGGATTTATGGTTAAATGTGTTTTGAAGGGTCACAGTGACATTGATCCGTGACCACAACATTTGTATCAGTTCAATGCCCCCACCATATCATAGGGTATCTTTTTGTAATTGTCTTTAAAAAAAAAGAACATACGGTATACTGCTCGAGGTTCTTCTCCTTGTTGGTCTCCGTGTCCTCCAGGTCTTTGTTGATGGCTGCGATCTGCCTCTTTTTGTCGTTGATGGCCTGGTCCAGAGACTTCAGCTCCTTCTTGATCCACTTGTCCCTCTCCTCCTTGGAGGTGAACTGGCTGCCTCGGCCCTGCTTGGCGTACAGGTCTGTCCTCTCCTGGGTCGCCTGGGCCAGTCTGCAGGGCAACACAAAGATAGTAAAATATTTTTTAACTAAATCACAAGTTCACAATGGAGCCATTTCCTGACAAACTGTGCATGCAGATGTTCAAAGTCAACAACCTTTTCCAACAGTTACAGATTAATTCACAATCCCATGTAACGACACCTGAATTAAATGTGCTGAATTTAATCGACACACTAGAAGCCGGGTTTTGAAAAGGGTGTGATACAAGAATAAATACCTCGGATTTTATACATTTTTGTCTATTTCCGGTTGTAAAGGCTGCATTAGAGTAAAGTCATCTCATTTTCAGAATTTACTTGAATGTTCTAGAAGTTCTATTATTTGCCTTAAAGTGGACCTATTATGCTATATTGGCTAAATATATTGTAGGGCCATACCTATACAAAACGTGTCTGTGAAGTTTTTTGCTTAAAATACCAAACAGACCATGCATTGTAGCCATGCCTCATACTGCTCATACCCTTTTTTGCAGCCCTGTTCCAAACAGGCTGATTCTGCTTTAAATGGAACGTCTGCTGCTAGCCACGCCCCTTTGTAGCGTCACACAGCGTTCCCCTGCTCGAGAGAGATTTCTACCGGGAGAAACTCAGCAAAACGCTGCGGTGATTAAATGCCATGTTATGCTCCTAACCACTTCACGCTTTATTTCTGAAACAGTATGGAGCTGAAACCTTTCTCTTTACCACAAGGACATTACGTTACACATATTCTCTCCAGTAGCCTACAGCGTTAGCTCCATGGTTAGCTGTGAGTGTTAGCATGCTTGCTAATGTAAACACACAGCATTACTCTCAAAACACGCCGCGCATTGTTTCTGATACAGCACATAGCTTGACATGTTCTTTCTTAAAGAGCATCTTGCAGGTTTTTATTTATTCTACATTTATGCTTAAACTTGCTTGAAAATTACAATTAAAAAAGTGAATGCAGGATTTGATATGTTTTACGAGACATAAGGGCAGGAATTCAGAGGGAAAGGAGCAATTTTGAGCTCTGCTCTTAAAAACAGCTTTTTTTTAAGGTCATACGTCAAACGCGTCATATTACATCACACAGGGGACACATCTCCGCTCTCTGACCGCGGGTATAGTGGAGTTGCGTTGAGTAGAGCGGTTGTGTTTTAAGGAGCTGGTATTTTTCGGTAGTTTTACATTGTATTTCACCATTTGTAATCATGGTGCAG